TTTTAGTAGAGACGGGGTTTCACCATGTTGACCAGGATGGTCTCGATCTCTTGACCTCGTGATCCACCCGCCTCGGCCTCCCAAAGTGCTGGGATTACAGGTGTGAGCCATCGAGTAAATCTTACAGAAGGGAAAGAATTTGAGCTACGCATGGGAAGAGGAACAGGGCTTCTCAGGAGGAGAAAGATGAGGATGCCCCAGGCAGAGAGAGGTGGAAGTGAGGAAATACAGTTGACCTTTGAACGTCACAGAGATTAGGGGCACTGAGCCCCACACAGTCGCAAATCCATGAATAACTTCTTTTTATTGTTGTTGAGACAGAGCCTCGTTCTGTCACCCAGGCTGGATTACAGTGGTGCATTCTAGGCTCACTGCAACCCTCAGCCTCCTGCGCTCAAGCAATCCTCCCCGGTAGCTGGCACTACAGGCATGTACCACCATGCCTGGCTGATTTTTGTATTTTTTGTAGAGACATAGTTTTCCCATATTACCCAGGCTGGTCTCGAACTGCCCAGGTCAAGCACTCCACCCACGTCAGCCTCCCAAAATGCTGGGATGACAGGCATGAGTCACCACACCTGGCCATGTATAACTTTTGAATCCCCCAAAACTTAACTGCTAAAACGTACCACTGACCAGAACCCTTTCAGACAATATAAAGTCAATACAGATGTTGTATGTTATATGTATTATGTAACATAATATGTATTCTTACAATAAAGTGAGCTAGAGAAAAGAAACATTAAAATCATAAGGAAGAGAAAATACATTTACTATTCATTAAGTGGAAGTGGATTATCATAAAAGACTTCATTCTCATTGTCTTCGCATTGAGTAGGAGGAGGGAGAGGAAGAGGAGGGAATTGGTCTTGCTGTGTCCAGTTCTTGTCTGCGTACAAGCTCCCCCAGGCAGTTCAAGCCTGTGTGGTTCAACAGCAACTATACTGGCGCTGGGCCACCATTTGGAAGTTTCCCAAGGGGAACACTCAGGCCTGGATGTGATAGGAGGTGACGTAGATGGAGGTTTATTGTGTGACAGGCTTTGTACATCGTACACTGCATGAAGCAGGGACTCTTAGTATCTTCATACTGTAGAAGAAGAAACTGAGGGGCTGGGCATGGTGGCTCAAGCCTGTAATCCCAGCACTTTGGGAGCCTAAGGGAGAGGAACTCTTGAGCCCAGGAGTTGAGACCAGCCTGGGCAATATGGTGAAACTCCATCTCTACAAAAAATATAAAAATTAGCCAGGCATGGTGGCGCATGCCTAGTCTCAGCTACTCGGGAGGCTGAGGGAAGGAGGATCACCTGAGCCCCAGGGGTCAAGGCTGCAGGGAGCTGTGACCATGCCACTGCACTCCAGCCTAGGTGACAGAGTAAGAACCCTGTCTCAAAAAAACAAAATAACAATAAAAAGGCCAGGTGTGGTGGCTCACGTTCCCAGCACTTTGGGAGGCCAAGGCGGGTGGATCACTTAGATCAGGAGTTTGAGACCAGCCTGGCCAATATGGTGAAACCCATCTCTACTAAAAATACAAAAATTAGCCCAGTGTGATGGTGTGCATCTGTAGTCCCAGCTTACTCGGGAGGCTAACACAGGAGAATTGCTTAAACCTGGGCAGCCCGGGCAGGGTCAGACACTCCACCCACACACCCACATTCAGCCCCAGGGGATGTGGAGGTTGCAGTGAGCTATTACATAACTGCACTCCAGCCTGGGTAACAGAACAAGACTGTATTAAAACAAACAACAACAAAAAACCGAAAGGAGGTTCCCAGGGCCACTCTACTCCTGACCCAAAGGGAGACTGAGCATTACAGAAAGGCGCCCCTTAAGATACTTTACTGCCATCTGCTGGAAGATAGAATAAATGTAAAATCTACACTATGATGTTAGTGGTGTCCACTTAGATGCGGGGCTTTGGTGCCGTGTACAACCTGCCCAACCTTATGTGTCAGCCTTGAGTGCCCGTGGTTCTTGGGGTAACAGGGCTTGAAGGCAATGGTCGTCTTCTTCCCTCTCATAGCCAGATACGATGCCGGTTCTTCGTGCGAGGGAATGGCCGCTGCCCCTTCAAATCTGAGTGTATCTACCTGCACCAGCTCCCAGCTAAGGCCCTGACCTCCAGTTCTCCCTGGCCTAAGAGAGTGCAACTGGCCTCTGGGAGTGAGGTGGTAACTGCAGGGGTATGGGGCAGGGGAGGCTGCTGGTCATGGCTTCTAATAAATGTTTGTGATAAATGTAAAACCTATGGATGGTGTCTATGATGCTAATATGGTGCCTACTTAGATGTGGCACCTTTGTGCTGTGTACAACTTGCCTGACCTTATATGTGAGTCTTGAGTTCCTTGATTCCTGGGGCAACTGGTGTTGAAGTTGATGGGTTTTCACTGATTTTATTCTCTATTCCCAGGTGCCAGGCCCAGCATCGTTCCTAAGGGGTGCTGAGCCACAGTACAATGCGTTCTTCAGGAACAGTGCCCTGGCCGTGACCTTCTGGGGTTCAGAACTCCTGCAGGACCCCAACAGTTCTTGCCATGGCCTTCTGTAACCAGGATCAACTTGAGGGAGATTGGGGTGAGGGGAAGGCGTTTCTAGGTGGTAGATCTTTCCCTTTTTGGGTTTGGTGGGGGGCAAAAATAGCAAGCCCTCCACCCCCATGAACTGCAGCAGTGACACAGCTGGGGACATGGGGGAGTTGCGGGGGAGGCTCCTAGCATGAGGAAAGTTCAAAACCTCTTGCCAGGGCCTTGGTTTTTAACTTTGCTGTTTTGTAGAATGACTCTGAAAGAAAACCAATAAAATGCACTAAGTTATCATTGCTGGTGTGTGAAGAGTGCTCTGCTCATGGCCCAGCCCCACTGCCAAGGGCAATAAGGCTGCTTCTGCATTCAATCTGTTGCAATATTACCTGTTACTTAGCTTCTGGAAAACTTCATGGTGCATTCATAAGAGAGTGAGAGTGGAAATGGCAAATAACATCTTCGCATTATGAAAATAGTGATAACCTCATGAAACTTGTGAAAGGGACTCAGGGATCCACCAGGGTTCTTGAGCCACGTTTAGAACTTTTCCTCCCTGTTCCCTTTCAGATGGCTAGAATGCAGGCCGTAGTGGGTGGGAGCCACAGCCCCTCGGAGTAAAGCTGTAGGTGAGGATGCGCCGGGCACTGCAGGCTGTTCAGCATTCTTGGCCCTGCTGCTATTCATCAGGTCCCATCCCTCTAACAGCTTGTCGTCAAAGGCCCAAAACACCCCCTGTAAAGTTAGAGCTGCTTATCTGAAACAGAAGGTGTCTGGAAGAAACGTCTTTCTTTTTTTGAGACGGAGTTTCGCTCGTTACCCAGGCTGGAGTGCAATGGCGCGATCTCGGCTCACCGCAACCTCCGCCTCCTGGGTTCAGGCAATTCTCCTGCCTCAACCGCCTGAGTAGCTGGGATTACAGGCACGCGCCACCATGCCCAGCTAATGTTTTGTATTTTTAGTAGAGATGGGGTTTCACCATGTTGACCAGGATGGTCTCGATCTCTTGACCTCGTGATCCACCTGCCTCGGCCTCCCAAAGTGCTGGGATTACAGGCTTGAGCCACTGCGCCCGGCTGGAAGAAACTTCTTTCTTGCTATTTTGGTCTTTGCAAAGCAGCCATTGTCTAAGAAATATCACTAGTGTTTCCTGACAGCTCCCTTGAAATCATTTTGGAAAAAATGAAAAGTTTGGCTCAAATAGAGATCAGATCAAGCTCCAAATACTCCCATGGCTTTCCATACTATTCAGAGTGAAAGCCCAAGTCCTCTCTGTGACCTCAGGGCTCACAAGATTTGACCTGGTTCCCACTCTGATCTCAACTCCTATTACCCTCCAGCAAGTATCCTCAGCTCTAACCATGCTTTCTCCCTGACCCTTTGCACTTGCTGCCCCCCCCCCCCCCCCAGGGAGGACTGAATTGGTCGTCTCACAGCCTTCTATCTGGCTTGCCAATCTCATCTTCACATTCATCTTGCTTGACCACCCTATTTAAAAGCACCTCGTGCTATCTCCTGCTGGTGCTGTATTCTTTTTGAACACTTATTGCAAACATTGTTTAATTAGCTTTCCGTTTCTCACCAGTTGTGTGACAATGAGGGCCAGTATCTTTGTTTTGTTCCCAGTATCCCCAGTCCCTAGGTGCTCAGTAAACATTTCCTGAATGAATGGATGTATGTGGCAGCAGAAGCTGAGACAGGAAATACAAGCTGGCCCCCAAAGCAAGTTTAGGAGGCATTGTGGGGCTCTTCTCCCTTATTTCCTACCCTCTGCAGTGATCCCACCCTTGGCTGGAAGCCTGCCTCCTCCAGCGGACTTCCTTAAACAACCCTAGGAAGTGGAACCACACCTGTCCCCCTATAAACAACCAGAGCAACGCTACTTCTTGGTCTTTGGGAGGAAGTTCAGAAGAAAGTCTTTGAACATATTGATGGTGTTAGGTTTCACTGTGACCTCATTCTCGGGGATGTTTGTATATCAAATACTATTTCTGGAGAGGACTGAAACTCAAATGATGGCAGTTTTCGGCCTATGGAAGAGGTGAAGCTAACTGGGGTGGTAAATTGTGGTCAAATCTTATGGTGAAGTCCATGATCTACAAGCAACATGCCGTCAGCTTAAATACAGCGCGGGTCCTCCAGTGCAACAGGACCCCTCCACTCCACTATTTTAGGGAGTGATGAGACAGGGAGAGGGTTGGGGCCGGCAGCGGCGGATCTGCCCCTCTATCAAGCCCTACCCCACCCCGTTCCAGGCTCTCTGGCCCGACTCGGCTTACAAACTAACCCCTTGTTTTGGCCACGCCCCTCCTATGGCCACGCCCTATGAGTTGGCCCCGCCCCTACTGGGCTGGGGTCGTGCCGGGCCCCGCCCCTTCCCTAGAGCCCTCCTCCTGTCAGGCTCCGCTGCTGGCCGCGCCTCTCTTCCTTTTCAGACTGCGCGCCGACTGCTGCAGCTCCGGGCGGCCACAGGCTCCTCCCGTCTTCCAGCACTGAGAAGAGATTGTAGCGGGCGGTGGAGCTGGCCCGCCGCCGCTGCTGCGGCCGCTGCGTCCGGACGGCGCTGGAGTCCTCCTTTCCCCTCAGCCTCTGAGCTGAGGCCCCAAACCTCAGTCGGGGGCGGCGCGGCACCCGTGCCCTGTCATGGCGACCCCGGACGCGGGGTTCCCTGGGACTGAGGGCGCGGAGTCGGCGCCCTGGGCGCAGCTGGAGGCCCCTGCCCGCCTCCTGCTGCAAGCGCTGCAGGCGGGGCCCGAGGGGGCGCGGCGCGGCCTGGGGGTGCTGCGGACATTGAGCAGCCGCAGCGGGAAGCCCTTCGACTGGGGCCGCTTGCTCGAGGCCCTGTGCCAGGAGGAGCCGGTCGTGCAGGGGCCTGACGGCCGCCTGGAGCTGTAAGTCCTCGCCCTCGGCCTCTCAGCGGGCACGGGAGGCGGGGGCTGTCGGGGGACTGACGCACAGAGAGGTGAAATAAGCCCCTCAGCACTCTGAGCAGGGGCACCCTTCACTGAGCACCTGCTGTGTGCGGGACACAGAGGATCCGGGGCCTCGAGGCACACGCCTTCTGTTCGCTGTAAAGTACAGCAGTGATGATAAGTGGAGGCAAATCGCTTTGATTGCATACTTCCATTTCTTTTTCTTTCTTTCTTTCTTTTTTCTTTCTTTCTTTTTCTTTTTCTTTTCTTTCTCTCTCTCTTTTTCTCTTTCTTTCTTTCTTTCCTTTCTTTCTCTTTCTCTCTCTCTCTCTCTCTTTCTTTCCCTCCCTCCCTCCCTTCCTTCTTTCTTTCTTCTTTCTCTTCCTTTCTTTCTTTTTTTCTTTTTTTTGAGACAAGAGTTTCACTCTTGTTACCCAGGCTGGAGTGCAATGGCGCAATCTCAGCTCACCGCAGCCTCCGCCTCCCGGGTTCAACAATTCTCCTGCCCCAGCCTCCCGAGTAGCTGGGATTACAGGCACGCGCCACCATGCCCAGCTAATTTTTGTATTTTTAGTAGAGACGGGGTTTCACCACGTTGACCAGGATGGTCTCGATCTCTTGACCTCGTGATCCACCTGCCCGCCTCGGCCTCCCGCATACTTCCATTTCTAAAAAATTGAACACGTACGTCCAGTATAAGTGTACTCATGTATAAAGTGTACACGTGTGATAAAATACGTACTTTTTTTTTTGAGATGGAGTCTTCGCTCTGTCATCCAGGAGTGCAGTGGCCTGATCTCAGCTCACTGCAACCTCCACCTCTCGGGTTCAAGCTATTCTCCTGCCTCAGCCTCCCGAGTAGCTGAGATTACAGGAGCATGCCACCATGCCCGACTAGTTTTTTTGTATTTTTAGTAGAGACGGGGTTTCACTGTGTTAGCCAGGATGGTTTTGAGCCCCTGACCTCGTGATCCACCCACCTTGGCCTCCCAAAATGCTGGGATTACAGGCGTGAGCCACTGTGCCTGGCTAGATGCTAAATATTTGTAATGTTTAATTTCTTATGTTTTAGATAAATAGGGGGAAATGGAAGTTCTAATATTTTCTTCCTACACTCCACTTTGAATTTCTTTTTTTGTTCTTCTTCTTCTTTTTTTTTTTTTTTTAAGACATTTCATCATGTTGGTCAGGCTGGTCTAGAACTCCCGACCTCAGGTAATCCGCCTGCCTTGGCCACCAAAGTGCTTGGATTACAGGCGTGAGCCACCACAACTGGCCTTCCACTTTGAATTTCTTTTAGGAGATGGGTCAGGAGAACTTGTCTGAATCCCCAAAATGGAAGCTACAGAAATGTTTGGTTTATTCCATCTGGTTTAGCTATCTGGTTTATTCTGGATAGAGTATGGAGAGGGCAGAGGCCTTGACCTGGGGCCCCTGGAGAGAAGAGTATTTCAGTACAATTGATTTCCTTTGTAATCTTAGATATTTTATGGAATGCATTTAATACTCTTATTCTGATCACAGATCTGTGGCACTAAAAAAGGTTAAAATCTCCTGGAGTAGGGTCTTCCCTACCTCTCTACCCCAAAATATACCTCCAAAAATACCCCGTCACAAAGTAACCATCTTTTGTTTATTTTTTATTTTTTGAGACAGAGTCTCACTCTGTCACCCAGGCTGGAGTGCAGTGGCACGATAGCTCACTGCAGCCACCTCCCAGGTTCACGCAATTCTCCTGCCTCAGCCTCCCGAGTAGCTGGGACTACAGGCACATGCCACTACACCCGGCTGATTTTTTGTATTTTTAATAGAGATGGGGTTTCACTGTGTTAGCCAGGATGGTCTCGATCTCCTGACCTCATGGTCTGCCTACTTTGGCCTCCCAAAGTGCTGAGATTACAGTTGTGAGCTACTGCACCCAGCCACATTAACCATCTTTTAAGCTTTTGACTCATTTGCTCTCTCACATAGTGTCTGTATTCCACAAAGAAATAGTTGTCTTTTTTTTTCTCCCTCACATCCCAAGTGCCTCTGTGTTGACAAACAGTCCTGCAAAATTATGCATAAGGAGGAGTTGAGACGTGATGGTGGTGGGCTAGATGCAGCCATGACTTGCCATGCCAAGCTTCAGGTCATGTAGGATCTGGGTTCATGCCTCAGCAGAATTACACATGGCTACATTGCATCCTGGGCCTTTGGAGCTCTGGGGGAATAGTAGTGTTACATCTATTTTAAGAGAAGTTGGGTGCTTGCCAGGAAGAGCATTGGTTCTGCTTATACCCCTGGGGCTCCAAAACAAAAGATCCTCATCCCCTCTGTCTTCCCCTTTGGCTTTGTGAATACTGTTTGGAATCTGTAAAGTGATTGCTTCTGTTTCAAGTTTCAT